CCCCCCCCGGCCGCGCTCAAGTGCACAGGGGGCCCCCACCCACCCGGGGAGGTGTCAGGCGTATGTGCGTGTGCCGGCCCGGATCGGCCTCGCGTGAAAGAGCGATCGCCCGGTGATGCCGAGATGCCGACGAACCGGCCCGATCGGAAGGCCCACAGGCTGTCCTGGATCGCAAGGCTAGGACGGGCCGAGAAATGCGACGGGCGAAGGTAGGCGATGCACGCCGGCTCGCAACAGACATGCCTCCGTGCGTGTGCATGCGTGTATGTATGGATGTATGTGTGTGTGTGTGTGTGTGTGTGTGTGTGCTCGTGTCTGCCGGTAGACGAGGCCGGGCGGGCGCACGTGCGGTCGCAGGTATTTGTCTAAAGCATGTATATTGGGGCTTGGGGACAGGGGCACAGCGCATGGGGGCCGGGAGGGCGAGCGAGGGCCAGCCTCATGTCGCCCCTCCGCCGGCGGCCGGCGGTTTGAAGTATTTGAGGAGGGAGGGCGAGGCCCGAGGGGCCGGCACGGGGGCGGAGCCGGAGGGCGAGGCAGGAGCCAGGCCGGGGCCGGAGGGCGAGGCAGGAGCCAGGCCGGGGCCGGGGCCGGGGCCGGGGCCGGGGCCGGGGCCGGGGCCGGGGCCGGCTGATCGGCCGCCTTGGCGCCCCGAGCCTTTGGACCCTCGCGCCGGTGGCGGCCGCAAGTTCAACCCCCCCGGGGGCCCCGCCATGGGCCCCGGGACCGGGGGCGACACCACCGCCGGGAAGTGCGTGTAGCTGACCCGGCCAACGCGCCGAGATGACCGCCGGCAGCCGGCGCCCGCGCCCTCGGCCCGCGCCCGGTGCACATGCCGCAGGAAGCCGGCCACCTCCAGTGCCGGCCCCGGGCGCAAGGCCACCAGGGAGTCCGGCTGCGTGGGCCAGCGGCCGGTTTCGCCGGAGGTGGCTGGCCCGGAAAGGGCCACCGCGCCAGCGAGCTGGTGAAGGCCGCACTCGGCCAGCAGCCGGTCCGGCGACCCGGGCACTTGGTGCAAATCAAAGCGCAGGGGACCGGATCGCGCGTCCAGCGCTGCCCGGCGTCGTGCCGGGCCGCTGGTGCTGCTCGCTTCCGAGCTCGGGGCCATGTCCGGCAGCCGGCCCAGCCCGGTGGCCACCCGGTGCGGCATGCGCACCGCCCCGGCCAGCAGTCGATACTCGGCATGCGGCAGGTCGGGTGCCAGCGGGGGAGCCGGATCCCCGGGCCCCGGGGCCCCGGGAACCCCCGGTGGCCGGCAGACAACGCATTCCCGACCGCCGCCCAGCGGACAGGGACCATCCTGGGCCTGCTGCGGCACGCTGCCCCGGTCCGGCCACAGGTCGCAAGGGTGCAAGTCGACCACGCGCCGGCGGCGGCCCAGCGACACCGTCCGGTCCTGGAGCAGAAGCTGCAAAGACACCTCGGCGCTGGTGGGCCCGCCGAGCCCGGCTCCGGGCCCCGAGAGAACGCCAGATGGCGAGCCGGCTACCAACGCCGCGGAGGACCCCGACCCAAGCATGGCCCGGGGCCGGTCCGGCGTGTGCGGCGCCGAGTCGGGCCCAACGAGCGAGGCCGCGGACCCCGCCCCGGGGCCCGCCGATGGGCCCGGGCAAGTGGACAAGTCCAGCAACTCGGAAAAGTCCGACTGGTCCAGCAGGACCCCATCACGCAGGGCTCGAAGATGCTGGACCGCGCGGGCCCGGCGCAAGCGAGCACACGGCCCGGACGCCAGCCCAGCCGATAGGGCGTCCAGCCGCCGGGCCTCGGCCAGCAGCTCGGACGAAGCCCCCCCGGGGGGGGCCGACTCCCGGCGGGCCGGCCACACGCCGAATGCCTCGCGCCGCGGGGGCCGGAGACCCGCCGGATCGGGCCCCAAGTCCGGCGGCGCACCGCCAGAGGGGGAGTTCATCAGCCGCGAGCGCAGGTCCACCGGGGCCGCGGCACCGAAGTCGGCCTCCCCCGAGCGCGTCACGGCCGGAGGGCCACACGCCCGGCCAGCCGCCAGCCGGCTCAGCAGACCCAGATATTCGTCCACCTCCTCGGCCGGAGCCTGTTCCAGTGGCAGGACCAGGGCATTGCTCAAAAGCGGAAGCATGTTGACATCTGGCGGGCAGGGGCGGGGGCGGGGGAAGCGCATGTCAGTGTGAGACATCCACAGGCACCGGGGGAGGAGGGGCAGGGACACCCGATGCCGGGGTCCTCAAACAGGAGGAGATGGGGATCGCTGAAGTGCTGGGGCTGGGGCAGGGGGGATGCCCAAGGCGGGCTGGCCCGAAGAGGCAGAGTGGGGGAGGGGGGAAAAGCCCCAGCACGCACCCTGGCACGTCAGGAAAATGGGTCGCTGGGTTTGGGCGATCATCTGCACCAGGGCCGCCGCGAAGCCCCGGTCCTCGGCGAAGATGACATCGGCATCGTCCACCAGGATGGCAGTCCGGCCGACTTGGGCGCCCGGGGATGCCAGCTGGCTGCTGGCTCGGAAGCGGGCCAGCGGACCGGCCGCCGAGCGCCCAGGGGCCGCCGCCGCCGCCGCCACGCGATGTGACCGCAGGCTTTCGCCCACCTGCGACAGGACCTCCAGGGAGGACCGCTTCATGCCGGCATTCAGCTCGATCACCGTGTAGCCCTGTGCGGCCAGGGGGCGGCAGGGCAAGGAACCCGAGGGCCCGGGGGGGGGGGGGGGGGGGGGGGGGGGGGGGGGGGGGGGGGGGGGGGGGGGGGGGGGGGGGGGGGGGGGGGGGGGGGGGGGGGGGCGAGGGGGGCGAGGGGGGCGAGGGGGGCGAGGGGGGCGAGGGGGACAGGGCCATACTTCTGCGTCATGAAGGAGTGAATCCACAGGAGGTACCGGGCAGTGCGAGCGCCAAAGAGGTCGAGCTCGATCAGCTGGGGATCGGGGGCCGGCCAAGTCGACCAAAGGGTGGTGTCAATGGCCGCGCATGCACGGGTGGGCTGGTGGCCTGTCAAGTCGCGCGTACCTGGCTGAGGATGTGTACCATTTCGCTGTGGATCAGGCGCGGCAAATTCAAAAAGAGCCGCTGGAAAAGGGAGGGGCTCGTGGAGTAGTCTTGCCAGCGCCAAGAGAGGCATATGCGTGCGTGTACATGTGCGCGCGCGCGCGCGCGCGCGTGTGTGTGTGTGTGTGTGTGTGTGTGTGTGAGAGAGAGGGGGGGGGGCATGTGCGCATGTGCGAGGAGGAAGGCAACTTCGGCAGGCCATTGCGATGGATCAAGGCGGGCGCGTACAGTTGGGCGATTCCCAAAGCGAGGCCGCGACATGGGGATTGACCTGCGAAGCGACGCAGCGCGTGACGCCAAAGAGCTCGCGCAGGCGCTGCACCGGCAGGTCATGCTGTACGCTGCCATCGACTCGCGGGGCAGCTTCGACCGGTCAAAAGGGCGACAGAAGGGCGGAGTAGGGGGGGGGGGGGATGGAGCAAGGAGGCACCGGGGTCAGCGCGGAGGACAGGGCATGAGGCTGGCACCTCGAAAAGCCAATGGGACAGCCCGGGCAGGCGCACCGCTTGGATGCCAGGGGGTCTGCCGGCCGTCGGCCCCGCGAGACATAATCGGCATGGGCTTGAAAACGCCGGGGATGGCGCATGACGCCGAGGCCGCGCTCCAGACAAGCTGCGAAGGGCCGTGAGTCAGCGCATGCGCAGGAGGTCGGCAAGTGAACACAAAGGGGAGGAAGGTGGAAGAAAGGCCCCCCCCCCCCCCCCCCCCCCGCCCCCCCCTCCCGCGCCCGCCCCTTCCCCCGAGAAGATCAAGCACCGCGGCCCGGCGCATCGGCGCAGCGGCGCACCACATCGCCGGCAGTCAGGTAGTTCAGCACGAGTGGCGGCTCACCGACAACACCCCCGCTGACGGTGATGTTCAGCACTCGCCGTGTCCGGGCGTACGCCTCGGCGAAGGTGTAATCCCCGACATTGGCTCGGATGCAGGCCGCCAGCACGCTGATGTCCAGGAAGCGCCCGGTCCGGATCAGGCGGACGAATCGCCGGATGAGCGTCGACCGGCTGGCCAGGGTGCGCAAGTACGGGCCAAGCGCCTGCACCGAGTCCAACTCCGGCAGTCGGGGGGTTTTCGGCTCGAAGGCGTCCAAATCCAGCAGGTCCGGATCGAGGGCATAGTGCAGCTCATCGTCGGTTCTGCGATGTGCCGAGTGGCGCATGCGGAGCGCGCAGCGCGCGGGAGCTGGGGTTAGTGGAGGCCCGGCCACCGGCATGGGCAGGCGAGCGAAGGGGGCGCACTTGGAACAGACCAGCGCCGCCACCAGGGCACCGGCCGACGAGCCGGACACCACCTGCGGCAGGAGCCCCTGCTCGTGCAGGGCCTTCACCACGCCCAAATGGTACATGCCTTCCACAGCCAGGAGGGGGTCAAGTCAGCAAGGGAAGGGCAGAGGCCCCCCGGGGCAGGGGACAAACAGCGGGAAGGGGCGCCAGGCCGGAGGATGACACACCCAGCGTCGCGCCGCCGGACAGCATGAGGGCCGTCCGGCCGGACACCTTTTTGAGCGCGGCAGCTGCCACGCTCCGCGCCGCCAGCGGAAAGGCCGCCAGCGGGGTACTCGGGCCCAGGAGGAAGCGCAGGCAGCGGGAAATCTCCGAGTGGTAGGCTGGGTGCCGGTCAGTCTCGACACAGGGGAGGCGGGTCAGGGGGGAGGGGGGGAGGGGGGGACAGGAGCGCCGCGGGCAGGACGCACCATTGACCCACAGCTTCGGCGCATTCAGCACCCCGCGGCACGGGGCCGACAGCAGTTCGACGTCCCGGGCACCGAGGGCGCCCTGCAAGGCGGCCAGCAGGAGCTGCGCGTGCTCGGAGGCGCGCGACGCACTCAGCACCACCTCCACGCAGTATGGCCCGTCGGGGCGGAGCTCGGCCTCGGCACTCGACAGGCAGCAGTGCTCATGCTGCTTGAGGGTGGCTCGTAGGGCGGCGTTCGAGGCGGCTGCCTGCTTGCGCAGGCGCCGGCAGTTGTCCACGCGAGCCGCTGCCTCCCGGGCGACCGCCGGCGGCGGGCCCGGGGGGGAGCTCGGGTCCAGCCGCCACTCCGACGCGCCTGGATAGGAGAGCCAGGGCGATTTGGGTCATGGGCCGGATGCGCCGGGGCGTGCAGGTGAGAGAGGAGGAGGGGAGGGGGGGGGGGAGGAGATGGAGACAAACATTGGGGATCGGTGCAAGATAATGGTCGAGTGTGGATGTGTGGCTGTCCGCGAGGGGAACAGAGAGAGAGAGAGAGAGAGAGCGATGGATGAGCCGTGCATAGGTCACCGGAACACGGACCTGTCAGGGAATCGATCTCATTGGCCAGGGCAAACCACCCGGCATAGGTGTCCACCTGGTCGAGCTCTCGGTGCAGCTGGCTCAGACGCTCCTTTTTGGGGTCCGTGCCAAAGAGGCGGAACTGTGGCATCATGCCGGCGAGGGGGCGGCACGGGCATGGGGAAGGGAGGTGGGGGGGGGGAGGGGGGGTGAGCGTCGGCCAGCGGACCGAGGGACTGGGCAACAGAGGGGCGAGGAGACGTGGCCGACGTACCAGCAGGTGGCGGATGTGGTGGAGCAGCAGGAGTCGGAGGAAATCCAGCAGCAGGCGCAAATAGTAGAAAAAGGAGGACATGCCAGCGGCCGGACCAGGAGAGGGGGAGGAGGGGACGGCCGCACGCCGGCAGGGGCAGGAGGGAGGGACAAACTAAGGGAGAAAGGCTGTGTCCTGCCGCCGGGGCATGCGTGTGTCTGTGAGGGTGTGTACGTGGGGGGGGGGAGGAGGGGGGGGGGGGGCGGGGAGCAACAGGGCGCAGGGTGTGTCGGTCGGAGTGGGTGGGGGTGTGTCTGCAAGGCGACGCTCGCGGCGCCCTGTGCAGGTTAGGGCTTTCTTTTTTCCCCTTCATCGGGCAGGGGGGGGGGGAGGGGGCCGGACTAAGCCTTGGCGCGCGATCCCACCCGCATCCAGGGAGCTTCCAATGATCCGCGCCGCCGGCCC